CCAAGTCATCATATGCAGGCGGGGTTTGTAAGGGATGTGGGTCCATGTGGTTGGCAGGTGATGAGTGAACCGAAGCAAATGGGAAGACATGTTCTATGAAACGCACGTCCCAAAACACCAAAAATTCACGTGCTACTGTATCATATAGGAGATACCCCTTCTGATCGTGTGGGTACCCCAAAAACACACATGCACGGCCTCTTTCTCCTAACTTGTCATTACAGGAAACCTGACATGCATATGCCAAGCACCCAAGAACCTTCATATGAGCATAGGTGGGTTTCTTATTAAACAATAATTCATAGGGTGTTTTGTTTCCAAGAGCCGTGGATGGGAGACGGTTAATAACATAGACGGCAGTGAGTATGCATTCTCCCCAAAATTCAACTGGTAGACTGGCTTGGAAATGTAGTGCCCGTGCTGTTTCTAAGATGTGACGATGTTTCCTCTCGACCACACCATTTTACTGCAGTGTGTAAATGCACGTCGTTTGAAGCAAAATGCCTCGTTCCTTATAGAGAGCTCTCATCATACCAAATTGAAATTCAGGTCCATTGTCCACCCGTATTTTCTTGATCTTCTTATTATATTGAGTTTCCACCATCCTTATGAATAATAGTAGAAAATGGCTAACATCAGACTTTCGCTTCATTAAATATACCCAGACACCTCTGCTGTAGTCATCAACAATCGTTAGAAAATAATGAGCCCCAGAAATGGTAGATGTTCTATAACCACCCCAAATGTCACAGTGGATTAAATTAAAACAGGAGCTCGATTTTATTGAACTTTTGCCAAAAGGCAAGCGCGTTTGTTTAGCGCGAATACAGGAATCACAATAGTCATCAACTTTATTCTTGAATAAATGAGAACAAAAAGAGATTTGCTTTAATTTCTCAAAGGACGCGTGACCCAGTCTGTTATGCCATAGATCACGTTCTGTACCACTTTGAACTGCCAGTGCTACCCCCCCTTGCTGCATTGGTTTCAAGTAGTATAATCCATCTTTGCACTTACCCACTCCAATCAGGCTCCTCGTATTCAAGTCCTGGATCACACAAAAATCAGCAAGAAATATTACAGCACAATTGTAGTCCTTGGTGAATTTGCTAACCGAAAATAAGCAACATTTAAATTCAGGTATATATAAAACGTCATCAATCCTCATTTTTGGAGAGAGCACCACGCTTCCTATGCCTTTGATGGGTATGGCCTGTCCATTTGGTATCTTCATCGGTGGTGAGCGAGAAAGATTCAAGCTGTCAAGTGTTCTTTGTTACAAGTTATATGTACCGAAGCACCTGTGTCAATTATCCATGGTCCATTATCGCAACTATTACCTGACATGTTTGCAACTGGTTGAATTTGAGACGCTGTCTTGTTTTCATTTGCCTCTAAATTTAAGCACTGTAGAAGCTTGTTGAATTGCTCCATTGTGAGACCAGGTACATGGTTCGTTTCTCCACTGACCTGGGCTGCCTTTGGTGCAGGTCTCTTGTCACGCCGTTCCCGACTGGACTTCTTCCAATCACCTGGATAGCCAACGAGATCATAAAATTTTTCTTCTGTGTGTCCCAATTTATTGCAGTGATGCACCGAGGTCTGTCCCTTTTACGCTCACTGCGATCATTGTGGACCTGAAAAGCGGCCGCCTCTGCCATCGGTTTGTGGCTCGAAGAGATGTTCTTTTGTTGTTCGTCCTCAGATACTAGGTGGTACGCGACTCCTAATTTTGGTAAAGGCCTCATACTCAATATCTGAGTCTTGATGGTTGCATAAGTGTCTTCTAGCGTCATGAGAAAATCATACAAGTGCTCTCTTTCCTTCATTTCCATCAACTGCTTCTGCATGTCACACTTGCACCCACCGCAGGAGCATTTCGGCCATGGTGCAATGGACTCAATCTCGTCCCAGTACCCTTTCAACTTGGTGAAGAATGCTGGTACGGTTTGTTTGTCTTGTCGCATGTGTGCTATGGCCCTACGCAACTTGTAGGCTCTCGGTGCATTGCCCTTACCGAACCTCTCCTCGAGATCGACCCATATTTCTCGTGCCATCTTAGCATATCTAACGCTGCTTCTTATCTCTTTGTCCATCGTGCTTTTGAGCCATCCTTTCACCATGGCATCACAGCGCATCTAGTGACTCAGATTTGGTGAATCCACCCCCGGCATGGGAAGCGTTCCATCAATGAACCCAATCTTATTTTTTGCAAACAAGGCATTGCTCATGTCGTTAACCCACTCACCATAGTTACTTTCATGTAGAAGTTCTCCAACATAAACGTGCCCTGGACTGTCAGAAGCGTGGATGAAGTAAGGTGACAGCACATCCATGGCTTCACTCTTGTTGACAGGTTGTTCAGTACTCATGTTTGCGACTCAGAACCCTAAGCTCTTTGTAGAAGTTTTGTGGTTGCAGCTCAGAACCCTAAGCTTACGTATCTTAGTGAACCTGTTGCTCTGATACCATAATAAATTCAGAGGCAAAAACTGATTCATATCATTCAGCATAGCAGTGTAAATATACACACACACACTGAGATCACGTAAATGTTGCAGCATCACGATAATCTCGGTCAAAACAACTAATAGCTCGGTATCTCCATATATACATATTCCTATATTTACTATACAATATCGCATCGTATCTTTGACGTATCTTAACAGGTATTGATAAGGAGGAACGAAGATGGGACAGGAAAGAATAGGGTTGGGCTAGTGATGATGCCTTACACTCTGCTTCATCCTAGCACTGAATCAGGACTCACGGGAAGAGGAATTCTAGCCAGCATATGAAGCAACTGCTTCAACTATGAATAGAACTATATTAGCATTATGCATGTTACTTTACTTGTTCTGTTAAGTTCTTAAAATTTTAAATTTTTACTTAACATTTGCTATTTAAAATTTCAATGCTTTCAATTAGTAAATTTATTACTTTGATTCACATGTGGATAATTTATTTTCTTCAAGTATGATAGAATAAAGCAATTTTCAGTCACTCTCATTTTATGGTTATGATTAAAATTTACATATTCATTAAGTATATTATATTGAATTATCATCTCTTCAATTATTTCACTTAATTGTTTGAGTTTATTATTTTTACTCTTTTAAATTTTATTTTTGAGGATGCTATTCACTAGAAATATTTTGGCCTCAGATTCATTAGTTGACGCTAGACCTCTTGTCGATCATTGAGGGGTTTACAACTATACTAGGTGAATATTTATCTTTGGAAATGAGTTTTTTTTATACAAATATCAAATGATTTGTTTTATTTTTGAGTTTATGTTTTAAGTGCTTCCCATTAACTATAGATAAAATCCTGATTTTATTTTTATGTCGACTGCCTGTTGCTGGGCAACATAGTTCCAAATTGTTAAATGCATATTGTTGTAAAGATTTCGTGAGATCTTATCAATAAGGAAAGTATTGTCAAAATTTTTATAAAATATTTTGAAATTTCCATTATAACAAATACTATTAAGGATGCCATAATTTCATTACAATTTTAATTATGTTTCGAAAATTGAATAATTTCTCAATATGAGGCTTAAGGGATGTGTGATATGGTTCACATCCTGTGTCAGTCACCCTCTGTTTTTGAGGTGTGATAATCTTCTTGGATGTTTGAAAAGTGATTTTTAATAATGTGTTTTATTTTGAGACTATCATTTAGATACTACACATTAACTATATATGTGATTTTGATTTGTAAATTCATATCGACTGTCTATGGTCAAGGAACAAAGCTCTGTATAATTAATTTGTCTACAAATGGTTATTGTAGAGATTCAAGAGGTCCTATTTAGCATTTATAGAGGAAGTTCTACTAAAATCTCTACAAAAAATTTATGAATCTTTTATTTATATAAAAAATATTACTATAATTTTCAATCCTATTCCAAACAAATTAAGATACTAAATTAGAATTTTATTGATCAAGGCTCAAGAGATGTATATTTGTGCATATATCCCTTGTGGCCATGCCGGTCACATTCGAGGTGTGACAGTAATTTTCAAATTAGTTCATTTTTATCAATGCAATTTATTACACTGTGTTTTGTTCCCTTTTTATAAAAAAATTTTAGATTTTTTTATATATAAGTAATTGTATTTATTTTCATTAATTTATACTGTTGACATCAATATTTTGTTCTCCATGTCGACAAATTTAATAATCTAATATTATTTTTTTAACAATAAAGACTAAATCAAAAACTAGAATAAACTTAAGGGACTAAAATGATAAAAATTAAATTTGAGAGATCAAATTAATAGTTGAGATAAATTTGAAGAACTAAAATTTATATTATCCCAGTTTTTAATTAAAAGTTGGCAAAAGTCGGTAATCTGATCCTACTCTCGCATTCAAGTTGTCCCCGAGCATGGAAATTTTGGCCCCTTCCTTATTTGATCCGCTCAATAATCTTATAGTTGCACTTTCTTCGCAAGTTCCTCGATTTTTATTGAGAGCTAGTCAATCTTTCTATTGTTAATTAATCCTTTGATTTTGGCGTCTACATTAATTATTAGGAGAATTTCGTTATAAGATCACGGGAGTTAATTTAAATCGGTCAAGAAATTCTGAAATTACACTACAAGACTAAGACTAAGGTATTAAATTAAAATAATGTTTTACAAAGAAAAGACTAAAATGCTCTGCAGTTTTTTTTTTAAAAAGGATTTCTTGGCATCTGGATTGATTATTCGTTTCGATTGATCTAGTGAATGGTTCAACTCCACCCACTTAATTAATGTCATAATTATAATTATTGAATTTTATCAAAATGATGGAAATATAGCACAAAAATTTTGAACAACTCTCACGATCAAAACCCTCCTCATATACGTCGTCTCCTCTAAAATTTTAGAATAGTCATTCATTTGATTTGCAATTTGATCTAACATGATGTGAGGGGTGATATTTGGTTTTTTTTTTTTTAAATAAATAAAGAGCAGCAAACTAGCTGCTAAAGCCAATACGGTCTTGGTTCAGCAAAGGAACAAACTCCTGAGGCTACTAATTACAGAAAAACCAGGCCAATTATTAGGAGCTTTACGGGCAAGAAAGTCAGCAACGTGATTAGCGTCTCTGCTAACATGCATCAACGAGATATTCGACTGACGCTGCATCATCAAACGAATTTCTTCAACAAGAACTCTGTATTGATGAACGTTAATATTGCCTTCCTTGACCAAGATCACTGCTTCCAGAGAGTCCGATGCCACCATGATCTGTCGTAAACCAGTATCCCAAGCATGCTTAAGCACCATTAAAATGGCCCACAGCTCCGTGGTTAAGCTGTCGTTCCCTACTGGTCTGAGAGTGAACCCACTCACAAACCTTCCTTCAAAGTCTCTTATAACTCTGCCACAACCTCCACGTTGAGAATCTGGCAAGAAAGATCCATCGACACTTAGCATAAACCAATTCCTGGGAGGAGGTTTCCAAGTATTCGGTCCACACCGGGGTTGTTGTCCATCCCAATTCAATTTTCTTCCATGACTTGAAACTTTCTTCATACTTTGAAGAATAGCCGAGACTCGGGCACTAATGCTCTGAAATGAGATAATCCTCCCTTCAAAAATACGAACATTCCGTCGCTTCCATATAAGCCAACAGGCGGCAGTGAAGAATTCCGTCCAGTCCGCCACTTCAACATTTCCTGAGTATCTAATATTCCATTTGATCCAGTCATGGAACTCCATCGAGAAAAAAAAATATGTCGTTTTCCCGGTTGCACCAGCGAGTGCCAGAATGCATGAGCTTTAGAGCAGTCGCGGAGGACGTGAATTTAATCCTCGGTGATATTTGGTTCTTTTTGAATATCATATGGCAAAGTTTGATATAACATTCACAGCTTGTAAGTTCCCACGATGTTTCACCTTTCTCATTTTGCATTCAAGTTATAATATTTTTTATTGGTCATATATATTCTCTTATTACCTAGATAAAACTTATAACAGAAACTCCGTATATCCTTCGCGTGGTTTATATTTGTTGAAGGATAAAAAATTTATAAGTTATCTAGATGTAATTTATGATAAAAAATTCGTAAATGTAGATTAAAATTCATTTATTTTTAAAAATTGGATTTTAATCAATATTTACGAATTTGTTTACTGATCAAATGCAAAGTTGGAAAAATGAGAAAGGGAAAACAAAAAAAGTAGTCTTTTTTATTAAAAAAATGTAGTCATTTTTTATTATATTTTAGTCAATAAAATAATATTTATTGAAAATAAATATTTTATTTTTTCAAAAAAAAAATTAAAATGCCAAACTAAATAATAATTATCACATTTGATAAATTTTAATTATTATTTATATATTTCAGATTTTTTTCATCATATAGAAAAAAGAAACTTGATAAACTTAACCTTATGCAAGCAAGATAAAAAAGAAAAAAAGAAAAAAAGGAGATAAAAAACGCGTGGTCACCGCGTATATGCAGCGAGAAAGGGATGCATGCGATCAGTCCACCAGCACCGAAAGCTGGTTAAGACCCGCACGAAACAAGTGGTTCTCCTTTCATCTCAAAGTGGGGTTCGAGAACCACCGACTAATTAAAAAGGGTAATACTGTAATAGTGGAGAAACACTAGAAGAAAATTCTGGATGCGGTCATGTACTAATGTTCAATCACATCCGCGGTAAATAGAAGAAGGTCCGAGAAAGGATGAAGAATGGCTAACATACAATACAAATATAAATATTGAGGGTTATACCGAGGCAGAAGAAAGAGAAGAAGAGAGTGAAGAGAAGTGTGTGAGTGTGAAGAAAGAAAGAGAATAAGTAGTGTGTGTGTCAGAGATCTTAAGTAAAGAGAAGAAAGGAAGATTGAGTGACTGAGATTTTCAGATTAATCTCTCTCTTTCTCCATCCTAAAATCTCAACATATGGAGAACAAGAAACATAGTTCCTCTTCTTCTTCCCTTCCAGATCCGCCAAAAACTAGAAGCGAGCGTGAAGGTGGAGGCAGGTCTGGAAACAAAAGCTCAAGCGGGTCGGCCAGAAGTAGCTCTGGAAGCCATCAAAAGACTGCAAGTAAGCTCAGAGATGGAGATCAAGAAGCTTGTCTGGAAGTAGCAAGAACTCGAGAAGCTCGTCAAAAGGTCGACGGAAAGTCTAAAGGTAAGCAGGACCCGAATAAACCAATCTCGGAGACAATGAAGCACCCAAAGCATCCACACCGCCCAATAGTGCTGATGAAACAAGGAAAGCCTTTCACGTGCAGTGGATGCAAAGAACCCGGATTTGGCCCGAGGTATAAGTGTCAAGGGGATAGCTGTGACTTCATCCTTCACAAGGAGTGTGCCAAGGCTCGTTCCACAGACATCTACAAAAAGCATCCATTAACGGCTGACCGTGAATTTGAGTTCCTTTGGGAACCCCCGGGGGGACCGGACCGCCGATATTGCGTTGCTTGTGGGAGGAACATTCGAGGGTTCTGCTATCATGATCATCGTTCCAAAAAAAACTTTAGTTTGCACCCTCGTTGCATGAATCTTAAGACAACCGCGTCTGATCCTAGTGACACTGTGAAGCTGAGTCTTAAGGACAAAGTGCGCTCCAAGTGTGAGATATGCAAGAAGGAGGATCCGAAAAAGGGGTGGTCCTATGTGTCCTCTCCTGGGCAGCATTGCCGCCATGTCTGTTGTGTGATAGCTTTGATTGTGGAGAAGTGGGAAACATGCCATTCCACTGTTGGTTCTTCTTCTTCAAGCCTGGTCATACCAGCCAAAATCTCTGTGGGCAGGCGTAAAAGAAGAGGCTTGTCGAGAACTGTGATCGAAATCGTGAAAGTAAGTTTCAGCGTTATACTATCAGTTTTATTCGGAGATCCAATTTCATTGTTTGCTGTTCTCGCTGGAAAGTTGTTAGAATAGAGCTTGGACCCATCGGTTTGAGGCTTACGTAATTGTGTTTTCATGTTTGGTTATGTAAGTTTGTATGTGTACTTTGTGTGGAGATCAGTTTCATGCAAATCAAGTTATGAGTACTTTGTGTGGAGTTCGGTTTCGGCGTTCTCATCAGTTGATGAGCATCTGGACCGTCCAGATTTTATGAAATTTATTTATTAATTTTATTTTATATTTATTATAAAAAATTATAAAATTTTAATATTTATTATCAATTTAGACAATACAAATTCAATTTGAGTGATTTAATTTAATATTATTTTTTTAAAAAAACTTGTATTTTAGACAGACTGAATTCAGAGTAATTTATAATTTTTTAAAAAAAATTAATATTAAATTGAACTATATAGATTAAATCAGTAATAAAATAAATTTATTAAAATTTTATATTTTATAATTTAATAAATATATATTAAAATATAAAATAAAAGTGATAAATTTAGACTATTTAAATTTTTAATTTGAACGGTCAAAATTCTTCAAGAGGTGAAGAGCACCCACCAAAACTGAACGCCTTTGTGTGTCGAACCTTCTCAGAGCCAATATTTGATCCGAGTCGCTGCTAATTGCCTACGTGGTCTCTTGGTACTGGAGTTGTACTTTTGCTGTACTGTTGTTAATAAAATTATTTTGCATTTTGAGTTGTATATATAAAAGTCATTCTAGATTTGGAACGCCTGAGGCTTTAAGAATTTTCAAGGGTTTGAAATTGAACCTCTTAATTTCTTCCTGCCAAGAGAATTTTCACGTTACTATAAAAAGTAAATAAAGTAAAATATTAAACACTACCCTAAATTATCTCAACGCTGAACACCTTAGGTTGCTTATTCCCCCCTAACCTTGAACGGGAAAAGGGATTTGAATTTAATGAGAAACCGATTTTACTGAGTGAACGCAGAAGTTTTCGTAATAGTTCAATTTACAATTAATGAGATACTGACATATCATTTAAAAGTGAGGTTGAGAGTTGAGTTACTATAAAAGAGGAGATTCTTGTTGATCTTTTTTGAAAAAAAATAAGTTACAAATATTAATTTAAATAATTATAAATTTAAGAGTTTTGATTATGAATAAAATATATTTAAATTCTAAATATAAGTTTCAGGTTGCAATTGAGTTTCATATTTGTAATGGTATAAATCAATATTTATAATTGTTTATGTTTCAAAAATATTTCAGGGCCTACTTGTCATTAATTCCCTTTTTTTTTTCAGAATTTGGTGTATTTTCCTAAAAACTAAAATAACTTACTGTTACTTGCTGTCACACAATGTTTTAAGACTGCTTAAGCACCATTAAAATGGCCCATAGCTCCGCAGTTAAGCTGTCGTTGCCTACTGGTCTGAGAGTGAACCCACTCACAAACCTTCCTTCAAAGTCTCTTATAACTCTGCCACAACCTCCACGTTGAGAATCTGGCAAGAAAGATCCATCGACATTTAGCATAAACCAGTTCCTGGGAGGAGGTTTCCAAGTATTCGGTCCACACCGGGGTTGTTGTCCATCCCAATTCAATTTTCTTCCATGACTTGAAACTTTCTTCATACTTTGAAGAATAGCCGAGACTCGGGCACTAATGCTCTGAAATGAGATAATCCTCCCTTCAAAAATACGAACATTCCGTCGCTTCCATATAAGCCAACAGGCGGCAGTGAAGAATTCCGTCCAGTCCGCCACTTCAACATTTCCTGAGTATCTAATATTCCATTTGATCCAGTCATGGAACTCCATCGAGAAAAAAATATGTCGTTTTCCCGGTTGCACCAGCGAGTGCCAGAATGCATGAGCTTTAGGGCAGTCGCGGAGGACGTGAATTAGATCCTCGGTGATATTTGGTTCTTTTTGAATATCATATGGCAAAGTTTGATATAACATTCACAGCTTGTAAGTTCCCACGATGTTTCACCTTTCTCATTTTGCATTCAAGTTATAATATTTTTTATTGGTCAGATATATTCTCTTATTACCTAGATAAAACTTATAACAGAAACTCCGTATATCCTTCGCGTGGTTTATATTTATTGAAGGATAAAAAATTTATAAGTTATCTAGATGTAATTTATGATAAAATATTTGTAAATATCGATTAAAATTCATTTATTTTTAAAAATTGGATTTTAATCAATATTTATGAATTCGTTTACTGATCAAATGCAAAGTTGGAAAAATGAGAAAGGGAAAACAAAAAAGTAGTCTTTTTTGTTAAAAAAATGTAGTCATTTTTTATTATATTTTAGTCAATAAAGTAATATTTATTGAAAATAAATATGTTATTTTAAAAAAAAAATTTAAAATGCCAAACTAAATAATAATTATCACATTTGATAAATTTTAATTATTATTTATATATTTTAGATCTTTTTCATCATATAGAAAAAAAAACTTGATAAATCTTAACCTTATGCAAGCAAGATAAAAAAAAAAAAAAAAGGAGATCAAAAACGCGTGGTCATCGCGTATATACAGTGAGAAAGGGATCGATGTGATCAGTCCACCAACACCGAAAGCTGGTTAAGACGCGTACGAAACAGGTGGTTCTCCTTGCTGTCAATGAGTGGACTATGGGGTCCGAGAACCACCGACTAATTCAAAGGGGTAGTGCGAGAAACAGTAGAAGAAAATTCTGGATGCGGTAGTGCACTAATGTTCAATCACATGCGCGGTAAATAGAAGAAGGTCCGTGAAGAACGAAGGATGACAAATCTGACCAACGTATACGAATATAAATATTGATGGTTTGAGATGGTGCGTGTACCGAGAAAGAAGAAAGAAAAAAAGAGAGTGAAGAGAAGCGTGTGAGTGTGAAGAAAGAAAGAGAATAAGTAGTGTGTGTGTCAGAGATCTTAAGTAAAGAGAAGAAAGAAAGATTGGGTGACGTGAGGAAGAGATTTTCAGATTAATCTCTCTTTCTCCATCCTAAAATCTCAACATATGGAACAAGAAACATAGTTCCTCTTCTTCTTCCCGTCCAGATCCGCCAAAAACTAGAAGCGAGCGTAAAGGTGGAGGCAGGTCTGGAAACAAAAGCTCAAGCAGGTCGTCCAGAAGTAGCTCTAGAAGCCGTCCACAATCTGTAAGCAACTCTACAAATAGAGTTGATTCTTTTAGAATTGATTCTTGTTCCTCCTGCACTCAAGAGCAGCGAAGCAAGCATGGATGTAGAAGCAGGTCTAGAGAGAAAAGCTCAAGCAGGTCGTCCAAAAGTAACTCCGGAAGCCGTCCAAAATCTAGAAGCAAGTCTAGAGGTAGAAGTTCATGCAAGTCATCCAAAAGTAACTCTGGAAGCCGTCCAAAATCTAGAAGCAAGTCTAGAGGTAGGAGTTCAAGCAAGTCAAAAGTAACTCTCGAAGCCCATCAAAAACTAGGAGCAAGGTTAGAGATGGAAGCTCAAGAAGCTTGCCTGCAAGCAGCAAGAACTCTACAAGCTCGTCCAGAGCTACAGGAAAGTCAAAAGGTAGCAAGAACCTGAAGAAAACAATCCCGGAGACGATGAATCACCCAAAGAATCAACACCCGATGGTACTGATGAGCCAAGGAAAGCCTTTCATGTGCAGTGGATGCAAAGAACTAGGACTTAGCCTGAGGTATAAGTGTAAAGACGATCGCTGTGACTTCATCCTTCACGAGGAGTGTGCCCACAGACCTCTACAAAAAGCATCCACTAATGGGTGACTCTGAATTTGAGTTCCTTTGGAAACTTCCAGGTGAAACGAACAACCGATATTGCGATGCTTGCGGGAGGGACATTCGAGGGTTCTTGTATCATGATCATTATTCCAGACACGAGTTTGATTTGCACCCTTGTTGTATGAATCTTGACAGAGATACCGTGCCTGATACGCATGGCACTGTGAAGCTGAGTCTTGAGGACAAAATGCCCCGCCAATGTGTGAAATGCAAGAGGAAGGATTTAAATGACGTTGAGAGCAAGAAGGCCTTCAGAGGGTGGTCCTATGGGTCCTCTCGTGGGGACTATTGCTTCCATGTCTATTGTACAAGGACTTTGGTTCTGGAGAAGTGGAAAGAGAGCTATTTCAATGTTGGTTCTTCTTCTTCTTCTTCTTCTGGTTCATCTCTGAAGGGAACAAGCTTGGTCATCAGAAGTGGTAGAAGGTCGAACACATCTTCGGCCTTGGTTAGAAGATCGTCGAGGCCGAAATTTGTCACAAGGATGACTATCAAAGGGGTGAAATTAGCTCAGTCTTGTATTATCATTGATATTCGGAAATCCAACTCCATCGTTTGCTGCTCTCGCTGAAAACTTGTTAGATTAGAGCTTGGACCCATCAGTTATGTTGCTCATTTTATTGAAGTGGTGTACTTTGTTAGGGCGCTTTTTGGTGGTGACGAGCTACGTGGTCTTTCGTCACTTGGGTTGTACTTTTGACTGTTGTTGGCAATAATAAAGTTTTCTTTCTATTTGTTTTCTTTCGGTATCCCCATCCTTAAATTTTCGGTATAAATACAGATTATTATTTTTTAATTATGTAGAGGTGTTGTTATTGGCAATTGTGATCTAATGATCATTCAGGCCAGAGTGACCAGTCAAAATGGTATTTTTGTATTATATATATAAATAATAAATAAAATTCATCTCTTGGTATTTAATTATAATTTAAAAGATTTAATTGATATTAATTTTTGTGTAATTCTTGAGCTTTGTTTTTTAATAAATTTTTAGGGTAATTAATTATTAAATTTAATTTTTTTAGGTCATGATAATTCAATGCATTGTTTTTAAATGTTGTAGGAAGAAATTGCCACAAATAAGTTTACGTAATTATATGTCCATGAGCACATAATTTAAGGGCAAAAATTTAATTAGATCTCCAAGTTTTTTCTTCTATCAAGTCATTATGATTAAAAAAAAAAACAAAAAGAATGGCCACCAACTAAACATTGGGGGCCACTCTTATCTAGAAGACATGAGGCTCAACAAAGCCTTAGCTCAAATTTCATAACCCAATACTCCATTTGTAGGGGCAGCGCAGCCTGATTGAATTGAACAAGGGCCGGATCCCCCTCTCTTAATGCCCCAACTTGGGTTACAAGATGGCACTGTCCAGTTGGCGGATAGGACAGTGATGTCAAAGCTTTATATAACTTGTTTTTTAATATTATCTTTTTAGTGGAGAATTGAAATGATAAATTGTGATATAATAACTATTTCTTTTGGACCACAATGGTGTCAACTAATTTAACTTCTAATAGAAAAAGTTGATTAATATATTGGTTTTCTAGAAATATTCACATTTTTTTCATTTAAGCTCGAGTGGAATATTTAAACTATCCTTATTAACTACATTAATTTCATAGAAGTAAGGGTATAAATGTCAAAAAAATTTACCTAATACTCTATATTTTGAATTAAGGGATGCTTCAAGAATATGACTTATATTATGGTTCAGAATAAGTAAGTGCATGAATTTAAAGTTATATTAAATGAAGAGTATTTTTCAAAATTTAATAAACTTTATTGATATGTATAATATAATATCAAATTATCTTATAATTTGGGAGTGGGGGAGTTACTTAGAGTTTGTGATATATTTTCTAGCTCTGCCTTGCTGTGAGTTAGATCTTCAACTCTTTACGTATGTTTAAACTTTAAACACCTGGTAGAAATATAAATAAATATATAATTCTATATCCTAGTGACTTGTGTTTGATTATTTGATTGTTGTGTCTATCTTGCAGGGCTTTCACATTATTTTGCAACTTGACCATTGTCTTACTACTAGAAAACATCCATTTTGCGACGGATTTTACCTTAATTTTGGGACAAAATTGTCATCACAAATGTAGTTTGAGACGGAATTTGTGACGGATAACCTTCCGTCACTATTTTGTTGGTCGCAAATTGTTTGCGACGGAATTTGAAATTTTGTCCCAATTTGAGACGAATATTTTGAGACGGAACTTCTGTCCCTAATTTGGGACGAATCTTAATGTCGCAATGGTGTCCTTAATTTGGGACGAATTATAGCGTCACAGATCTGTCCCAAAATTTTGTGAAGGAATTTTCGTCACAAATGCGTTTCAAATTCTGTGAAGGGCTTTTTTGTCACAAATCCGTCACAAATTTATATTTGAAAGAAAAATTTTTTAATTATTTATTTAATTTCAATTGTTATTTCCCCCATCATTATTTTACAATCTCAACCTGTAATAATAATTTTATATATAAAAATAAGCAAAATTATAAGAAATTTAACTTGAAGCATCAAGAACAAAATATCTCATTTAGTATTTAAAATTTGATACATTCATACTCAAATGTCAAAGCATAGGAAAATCATTCAAAAGCATTTAAAGTAGTCAAATAACATAATAATCACTAAACAACATCAAACAAAAGCATGAGCTTCATCATCTTCATCTTCATCTTCATCCTCCACGGGCGGCATACGCTTAAGCAAAATATTGATATTCTTTTGGCAATTTTGAAGCTGTTGTCGCTGCTCATTTATTATTGACTCAAGCTTTTTGTTCATCTCTATTAAAGCATCTACACGCTTTTGCAGCTCATTTTCAAATTCTGGGTGGAGTCCTATATGATAAGAGGCATCCTCTACAGAACAAGAGCTATGATATGAAGGAGCCTCAAATCTAATACCAAAAATGCGTCCTTTCCTGTTAACACCACCCACAGCTTTCAACCATAATTCTATATCATCAGCATAGTCTTCTTCTACTTCTTCAAGAGGTGGATCCATATCTGGGAGCTCTCCTTGATTAGAGGATCTATTAGACCTCTTTAGAGTCATATAATGTTCCTATAAAAAGATAGGTAATTAAATTATAATTTAACTCAATTTTATAACTCAATAAATTGAGTGATAAGCATTCATTTAACTTAACAAATTGACAAGGTAGCTATAAAGAAAGATTAAAATGCAAATGTTTAACATTCCATAAAAAATACAATGAGAGGTACAATTTCATGTCAATTTCATTCAAATCTAATAACTCATAACTTTATCAAGTATAAAAAATTTCAATGATAAAAATGACTCCCACAATAGGTAGTCAAGCCTCCAGCCATCAATAAAATCCCAATGAAAAAATCAAAACAAAGAAATATATTTACACTTACATATACATCAGCTGACCTCTGATCAACAAATTGTCTAGTCTTTTCATTATAATGTGTGCGCTTAAATAGCTCAACCATTGTTGGCTCTCTTCCAAGCTCTATAGTCTGCAATTATTAACAATAATTATAAATATTCATTCAATATGAGAAATAATTTGTAATTTGATTTTAAAAAAACTTACCATTCTTCTTTTATGCTCGGATACAGAAATGCTACCACATCTATTCTTCATTCCTCCTTTAGCAGAGGCTCGATTTGCCTTAGCCTTCTATTTCTTGTTATGATATTCTGTTTTATTCCATTGCACTTCTAATTCTTTCCATACTGTTTCTGGAATCCAATTTGGCCTAATACCTAAATTTGACCATCTATGGGATCTCGACTCCTAGGTTTTGAAGATGATATGATAGGCTCTGCTGTAGATCCTACAGAGGGATTAGATATGCCAATAGAAGGAGATCGATTAGGAGGAGATAATGATCTAACACTAGCTGGTGGTGTCACGGGGCTGTTAAGCCGACAATAACCACGTTTGATGCCACGACTTGTCATCTGTACAATTAACATGAATAAGTTACATTTGCATAACAATATGTAACATATTAAAAATAAAATCAAATACATAAAAAATGCAATTTTAAACAAACCGAGAATTTAACATGCACTATGAATTCCTCTAAATATCATCTTCTGAATCATCTGCTTCTTCATTTTCAACATCATGTTTGTCATCACCTTCTTCAGTTTCATCTTCTGAGTACCAATCCTCATCCTCCTCATCCTCCCCCTTCTCATCCTCCCTTCCTTCTCCTTCTTCATCATTTTCTTCATCTTCTTCATCATCTACTTCACAACCATCTTCAATATCCATTAGGTTGTACATTTCATCATCATGAACAATAGAAAAGGGTAATACAACTTGCAACCCATCATCTTGAAATGCCCTAATGTTAGTTGTACATGGTGGCGCATCAATTATGCTTCAAGCCTTTGCTTTAATGACAACTGCATGATTAGATTTCTGACGAACACAACTTGGATAAGATGTATAATATACCTGCATTGCTTGTTGTGCAAGAATGAAAGGATCATACTTGTTATACCTCCTTGATGTGTTAATTTCAACAATCTTGTATTGCTCATGAATTGTCATACCACGATTAGGAGTTAGATCAAACCACTCACGATTGAACAACATTAGTTTTTTCTCAAGAAGCCCAGTATATTCTATTTGCACAATCTCTTATAGTATGCCATAGTACTCACACTCTGATTGGCTATAATCAGAACCCTTAACACAAACTCCACTATTTATATTAGATTTTCTATAAGTATATGAATGTGTGTGAAACTTGTAACCATTAACAATGTAGACAGGCCATATTGTAACTACCCATTTTGGTCCTTTAGCAATGTCATGTAAAAGCAGATCAACATTATTGGTTGATGTTAGATGATCTTGAAACCAAGTAGAGAATTGGGTTTCAATTTGATCTTCTATCTCAGCATCTGAAATTTGGGGGCTATATGAAGTTAAACATTGAACAAATAACCTGCAGAAAAAAAGTATATTAATCCCTAAATAAATAATGATGCAAGTTTTTAATTAATGTCACTTACTCTATATAAGGTTGTACTTCATCACAATTCATTAGAATATATCTTGTGGTAGCTTTTACTTCTTTATCCTCTAAATAACGAGATTTGCATTCTCCATAAGGTCGTCCTGGATAGTTAAAAATGAAAATTGTAGGTAGATCTAATTCTCCACCATCATCATTTCTTAGAAGTCACATCATTATTGATTGAGCATCTAGCTTAAAGTAATGAGAGCAAAATGTTGCAATCTCTTCTATTATATAAGCCTCACAAATAGAGCCTTCCACACGAGCTTTATTCTTTACTTTAAGCTTTAAGGTGTGTAGAAACCTACATCAAGTGACCATGAGTATGGTGACCTAATTTTGAAATAAAGTAAAAGTTTATTAAAATATATAGACAACTTTTACCACCTTTCAAATGGATACATCCATCAATATTGAACTGGTCCTCCAACCTTAGCTTCATAAGTAAGGTGAATTGGTAGGTGTTCCATTAAGTCAAAAAACCCTAGAGGAAGAATCCTTTCTAACTTGCACAATGTTTCAATAATATTTTTCTCTAACACCTCTAGTTTAGAAATCATTAAGGTGTTTGAACAAATTTCTCTAAAGAATAGACTCAACTCAGCTAAAGGTTCCCAAACAACTTTTGGCAAAGCATAGAAAGCTATAGGAGGCAAATGTTTCACAAACACATGACAATTATGACTTTTCATTCCATGTAATTTTG